TGGAAGGAAGGTTGGGCAATCTACTTCCGTAGTGATACTGCCTCGGAAACCCAAGGAGGGGTCGCTATGAGTCGGGGCCGACTCCACGGCACATAACAGCAACAATGGTATCGTTGGATCTTGCTTTTTTATAGTTTCCATGGGAGCGTCCCTTAGTTCTTGCTCCTATTATTATTATTATTATTTAAATGTGTGAACCCTAAAGTAATAACATGTGAAGTTTTAGTTTCTACTTGTTGAAAACCTTCTTTGCACATATCGATTTGTCAATCCTCTGTGATAACAGGACTGCCAATATGTGACTTGTTATACTCTCATTGAGCTTTCTCTGGGTTTGGATGTGGTTAGGTGTGAAGCACTTGAAGGACTTTCAGATTATGCCAGGAGAGATATTCAAGTACAAATGGACAGTGAGTCTAGCAGATGGGCCAACTCAATCAGATCCTCGGTGCCTGACGCGCTATTACTCCAGCTTCGTTAATCTGGAGAAAGATCTAGCTTCAGGACTCATTGGCCCACTCCTCATCTGTTACAAAGAATCTGTGGATCAAAGAGGAAACCAGGTGAGCACTTTCCTGTCCCAGTGTTTGGTTTGAAGCGAAAAATGGAATGATGATAGAGATGAACTTCCAGATAAGATTTCCTGTACTCTGTCAGCATTTGCCCCCTGTACCCAGAACCACAAACCCAAACACACTGCCATCGACTCAGTGCTGACTCATAGTGACCCCTCCTTGGGTTTCCGAGGCGGTATCTCTAGTAGATTGCCCCATCTTCCTTCCGAGGAGTGGCTGGTGGGTTTGAACTGCCACTCTTTTGGTTAGCAGTCAAGTGCCTTAGGCACTACACCACCAGAGCTTCAGGAAATGTAACCGCCAGAAATGTAGCCTAATAAAGGAAATGGACTGGGGCTCTGGTAGCCTTTATTTGCCATCTTCAGTGACCACCTGTTTTTAGATGACCCATACGTTTATGTTTACAGCCTAGACTCCTCTTCTGGACATCTCAGAATTGGCATGTCCCCAGCATCTAGCACAGTGCATGGCATTTAGTAAGAAATAAATATTTGTTGAGTGAAAGAAAGGGAAAGATAAAATATTTCAGCATTATTTGAATTCAATATGGTTAGAATTTGACCACATTTGCCAATGGAAAGGAAAAAAAAAAAAAAAAGCTAAATTCTATGAACAGAAACTCATTGCTTGGTTCTGGAATAACTGATTGCTAAGGCTTGATTAGGAGCTCTAGTGCTTCAGTAGGAGCTCTGGTAGCATAGGGCCGAAGGCACTTGACTGCTAACCAGAAGGCTGGCGGTTCAAACCCACCAGCCACTCCTTGGAAGGAAGATGGGGCAATCTACTTCCATAGTGATACTGCCTCGGAAACCCAAGGAGGGGTCGCTATGAGTCGGGGCTGACTCAACGGCCCATAACAACAACAAGAACAACAGTGCTTCAGTGATTAAGCATTCGGCTGCTAACAGAAAGGTTGGTGGTTCAAACCTATCAGCTGTTCCATGGGAAAAAGATTTACAGCTTTGGAAACCCTATGGGCAGTTCTACCGCATTCGCTATGGTTGCGAGGAGTTAAAGTCGACTGGACGGGAATAGGTTCAGTTTTAGGTTTTAAGGCTTGACTGTGTGCCTTTTTGATTATTTGTGATACATAGGATCTTTCATAGTTTGACAACAGTCTTTTAAGTAACGTTTCATTGGTTTGAAGAATAAAGTCCATGAACTTCAGTGCAGTTAACCATGTGGCACACAAACCCAGAAAGACATAAATTCGGCCAAGGCCTGGCCCCATCCTGACAATTTTTTTCCTCCCCTCAAACCTGTTATTGTTGTTTTTGGCCATTGAGTCAGCCTCTGCCTCATGACAACCCCATTTTACAGTAGAACCAAACACTGCCAGGCCCAGGGTCTCCCACATGGAAGGTGACATTTCCACCAGTGATCCACCACTGGCCTTTGTAACTATAGGTTATGAAAAAACCCAAATGCACTGCCCGTGAGTGGGACCCTACTCCTAGCAACCCCTCCTTGGGTTTCCGAGGTAGTATCACTGCGGAAGTAGATTGCCCAGCCTTCCCTCTGAGGAGTGGCCAATGGGTTTGAAGTGCCAGCCTTCTGGTTAGCAGTCAGATGCCTTAGGCACTACGCCACCAGAGCTCCCATAGGTTATACAAAAAGAAATGACATTTATACACATTAGTGAGACGTGCACATTAAATCTTACCTGGTTCCATTAACAAGTGACTAATTTGCAAGTTTGTTTCATATACAAACTGATTTGGAAAAAAAAAATTCAAGTATTTTTAAACATCAGACTTAGGATGTTAATGTGGTTTAATGGGTCTAGTCACCCTCTTGCCCTGAGGACCCATTTGCTCTAAACATATACTCACTGCTCATAGAACCCACCCCACTCCCAGGCCCAGACACATGCCAGAGTAGGGACCACAGGAGGAAAATGATTGAGCCCAAGGACCATAGATAGGTCACGTGCATGCCATTGCTCTCATCATAGACTGCTAATTTCTACCTGACAGTATCAGTAGCATATATTTCCCTCTTTCAATACTTGCAATTAACAGATGATGTCAGACAAAAGAAATGTCATCTTGTTTTCGGTATTTGACGAGAACCGAAGCTGGTACCTCACCGAGAATATGCAGCGTTTCCTCCCCAGTGCAGCAGGAGTGCAGCCCCAGGACCCAGAGTTCCAAGCCTCCAACATGATGTACAGTAAGTAAAGCATCACTTGGGTCCAGTGCGTGATGGATAAAAGCTTGATTTTCTGATAATTAATGAGCTTGTGTGCTATGGAAGATCATACTTCTTTGAAGAATTGTTATGTATAAATAAATACATTTCATGTAAATGTATACATGTGAGTATATAATGCATATTTTTTAAACATTCATTATTTGTTTGGCTTCCCCTTCCCTTTTATCTTCTCATCTTCTTCCATATGCACCTTTTCACCAACCATTCTGTGTCAAGGTAGGACATGTTAAAACATGTTCTGGAATTATGGAACCATACAGAAGCAGACACACACATACATGGGTCAATTTCTGGACTCTGTTCTACATTTGATATATTTGTCTATTCCTGCAATGAGATCACGCTTTTAATTAAAATAGTTTTACAGTACCCCTTAATGCCTTGTAGGGCAAGAAACTTTGAGCCTTTTTTTTTAAAAAAAGAAAATGTTTTAATTGTGATTTGGGTGCAAATTTACAAAGCAGATTTGTTTTACTACTCTCAACAGTTCATGCACATTTGAGTTCACAGCCCAATTACCATCCCCAACCAGAAAAAACTCTCTCCTCCCTCCCGCCCGGTGACTGCCCCCACCCCCCCCGTGCCCTTCCTATCTGTGCATTCCCATCCGTCCAGCTTGCCCTCTGTGTGAGTGCTGCCCATCTGGTGTCTCGTGGCTGGTTGATCTAATGGGTGCATCTCCCTACAGTAGGTGGGTGCATCTCCCTGGGGTAGGTGTTCTGCATGGAGGTCTTTCTACTGTTGGGTTGAGAGCGAATCCATGGAAATGAGTCTGTTTCTCAGCCCAAAGGGTAACCTGGGGCTGTAGTCTCAGGGGTTCCACCAGTCTCTATCCGACCAATCTTTCTGGTAGTTTTCGGGAGACTTTGATTCTTAATCAGTTGCACTAAGCTCATGTCTGAGCATTGCCTAGTATACACTCACTCCTCACTTGTCAACATGGGTAGGTTCCAAAGACCAGGCTGTTATGCAGAAATAGGCATTATGTGAAAATGGAGGATGACCACATCGGATCACAAAGTGGAGGATGACTACATCATTACATAACTGTCAAATTACATTATTATGTAACTGCCAAACTACTCGGAATCCTGGCTGTTCTGGTTCCCTGGGGCTGCTCTGACAGGAATATACCACCAATGGGATGGCCTTAACAAACAGGAGGTTATTCTCTTACAGTCCGGGAGGCTAGAAGTCCAAGTTCAAAGTGCCAGGCTCTAGGGGCTGGGTGAAAGCCCCTTGACCTTGGGCTTCAGCTCTGCCCCTTGCTCCCGGCCCACTGAAGCTGGAGGCATCTCTTCACTCAGGCAGCTACTGGCTGCTAAGGCTAACAAGCCCAAGGTAGACAAATAAAATGGCCTAGTCCCGATGTTACCAAATCACACAACAGGCCATTAATTGAAGTCCATTGAAAGTCCCAAGGTCGGCAGAGCATGGCAGGCTGCTGAACTTGGCTACATGCAGTGTCTGAGCATGCCATAAGCTAGAGACCGTTCCTCAAGGCTTCTCCTTATATATAGGAAGCAGACCACATCCCTAGGGCAGCTACTCAGCTGCTCACAGTAGATTCCACCATGGAGTTGATGACCAGTCTCATCATGGGGAATAACTACATCCAGCTGCCCAGCCACTCAGCCAGGCCCAGCCAAGTTGACACACAAACCTAACCACCACACTGGCCCAGCCAAGTTGACACATAACCTTAACCATCACTGCCAGCGTTACTCTCACCTCATACCTCGGCAATTGTTACTGCCTGATGTACATCATTAATGCACAAAATAGTCAGATAGTAGATTTTTTTACTCTTGTTGTAAATGCAAGATGTTGGATAACAAGCTAATTGATAAGTGAGGAGTAGGTGTGTCTGTGGGCCACCACTTTGCACAGTACCTGGTAACACTAGGTAGACAAATGCTTTTTTAATTTCTGGGTGGATGTTGCTATTGCTGTTTGTTAGGTGCTGTCGAGTCAGTTTCAACTCATAGCAACTCCACGTCCTGCACCATCCTCACAACCATTGCCATCCCTGAGCCTATTGTCACAACCACTGTGTCTATCCATCTTGTTGAGGGTCTTCCCCTTTTTCACTGACCCTCTACTTTATTGACAACATAACCAAAGTAAGTGAGACAAAGTCTGGCCATTCTTGCGTCTAAGGAGCATTCTGGCTGCACTTCTTCAAGGACAGATTTGTTCATTCTTCTGGCAGTCCATGGTATTTTCAGTATTTTTCACCAAGAAACACCACAAGTCAAATGCATCATTTTTCTGTTGTCTTCTTTATTCATTGTCTAGCTCTCACATGCATATGAGGCTACTGAATATACCCTAGCTGGGTCTGGCACACCTTAGTCTTCAAAGTGACATCTTTGCTCTAACATTTTAAAGAGGTCTTTTGTAGCACATTTGCCCAGTGCAATTCATTGTTTGATTTCTTGATTGCTGCTTCCATGGACGTTGATTGTAGATCCAAGTGAAATGAAATCCTTGACAACTTCAATCTTTGCTTTGTTTATCATGATGTTATGTATTGGTCCAGTTGTGAGGATTTCTGTTTTCGTTATGTTGAGATGTGATCCATACTGAAGGCCATGGGATGGCTGATGGATGCATAGATGTATGAAAAAGACTTTCTGAAACAAATCAATTCCCCTTATAGGCAAAGCCAGTGTTACTTAAGTTTAGCTTTTTATTTTTAAATAATTTCAAACTTACAGAAAAGTTGCAAGAATAGTATAGAAAACTCCCATATACCCTTTCTGCAAATTCACCACTTTCTAACATTTTTCCATATTTGCTTTTATCGTTCTTTTTATCTTTACAGATACTTTTATTACTTTTTTTCTGAACCATTTGAGATTAAGTTGCAGGCATCATGATGCTTTGCCTCTTAATCCTTCAGTGTGTATTTTCTCTGAATGAAGATATTCTTTAACATAACCAAAGTGCATTTATGAAAGTCAGGAAATGTAATATTGATACATTTATCTAATTGGAAGCCTATCTTTTATTGTATTTTTTTTTCTCCAGTATAGGGTCCATCCAGGATCATGATTGCATCTATTTCTCTTGCTTTTTTAGTTTCTTTTAATCCAGAACATTGCCAGATGTTAATTTTGAACACCTGATCAAGGTTTTTTCTGGTTTCTATTCTGTGTGATTACTCTTTCCCCTCTTACAACTAATAAGGAGACACTTTGAATAGGAGACAATAATAGGGAGACACTTTGAAGCCTTCCAAATGTCCCCCACCCCGACATAGCATCCATAGCCATCTTTTATCATGATGGTTGCAGAATGATGATTTTCTGTTTCCACCGCTACCTCTGTTATTTACCAGTTAGAATTTTACTGTAAGGAAGATCCCCTCCCTTCCCTATCTATCTGTCTATACATACATATATACATATATCAATTTATCTATGTATCATCATTGTGAAGTAATAAATTCTTTTTTTATTCAATGGGTTATAGTCCATTTACTATCCTTATTTATTTTGATGTTCAAAACCATATTTGGGGGGAGTTCCAGTAAGATGGAGGACTAGGCAGAAAGACTGCACAGACCCTCTTCAACAAAGAAAAGGGAAACCAATTAACAGACACAGAAGATAATCTTGGACCCCTGAGCCTTGAAGGGAAGGATACAGAAGTGGACTCAACCCCAACTAGCAGAAGAATTTGTGTGAAAATACCAAAAAAGGAGACATACGGAGCTGTGGTTTGGCAGTGATCCTGAGCGATCCTGACGGCACAGACAGCTTGGAGATTCCTGAGTGCCAGTAGGACTTAAGAATTAACCTAAAAATCAGCCCTGCTAGCCAGGGACTGCACGGAGGACTGTTCTGGTTGCTGGGGAATCAATGGAGAAGGTGAAGAGAAAGGCAGGCTGAGCTGTGGACTTTTGCTGGTCTGGAGAGTGCCACCATTTTAAATGTTACAAGCGGCTTGACCGCTTTGGATATTTAAAGAGACAGCGCTTTCTGAGATTTCAGGGGCTTAAGAACACATTCTGCTTTCCAGCAACCCCAAGGACACTCCGGACCTGCAAGACTGAAAAGGTACAACATTCCTCTTGTTATTCTTATTCCCCACACCCGCTTGGTAAATGGAGGTGTGGCCATCCCCGACTCCCACCCACCTTCTGGGCCCACAGGAACTCCATCACAGTCTGTGTGCTCAGGCGGAGCCTGGGTGCCCTGCCCTGTCCTCCACCGATTTTTTTTTTTCTTTTTCACTTTCTTTTTTTCTGGTGATTCGTTTGCTTGTATTTGTCTGTTTTAAAACAACTATTATTATTAATACTTTTGTCCTTTTTACTATTATTCTTATTCTTACCCTCCCAGGTCCTAGTTTTCAGCTTTTTTTCTTTTCCCTGTTCCTAGTTGAATTTTTCTTTCTTTCTTTCCCCTTTTTTCTCATGGGTAACCCTGTTACTTGTTTTTCGTTTTACATCTTTCCCATTTTTTTTCTTCATTAACTTCCTTCTCTACTTTTTTTTCTCTTAGTGCCCTATCCCCAGATATTGCAGGTTTTCTTGTTTTTTCTTCTTCTTTTTCCCTTTTTTCTTTTTTTGGTTAC